CCGGCGACGCCTGCGTGCTGCCTGCAGTGCGGGGCCCGTGTCCGGGCCGCGAGCCGCGCTGGGCCTACAGCCCGCTGCTGCGCCAGTGCCACCCGTTCGTCTACGGCGGCTGCGAGGGCAACAGCAACAACTTCGAGAGCCGCGAGGCCTGCGAGGGCGCGTGTCCTGTGCCGCGCACGCCGCCCTGCCGTACGTGTCGCCTTCGGAGCCGGCTGGCGCTAAGCCTGTGCCGCAGTGACTTCGCCATCGTGGGGAGGCTCACCGAGGTGCTCCAAGAGCCCGAGGCCGCCGGGGGTGGCGGCATCGCCCGCGTGGCCCTGGACGACGTGCTCAAGGACGACAAGATGGGCCTGCAGTTCTTCGGCACCAAATATCTGGAGGTGACGCTGCTGGGCGTGGACTGGGCCTGCCCATGCCCCAACGTGACGGCTGGCGACGGGCCGCTGGTCATTATGGGCGAGGTGCGTGATGGCGTGGCTGTGCTGGACGCCGGCAGCTACGTGCGCGCTGCCAGTGAGAAGCGTGTCAAGAAGATCGCGGAGCTGATGGAGAAGAAGGCCTGCGAGCTGCTCAACCGCTTCCAGGACTAGGCCCGCCCCGGTCCCGCCCCAAGCCCCACCCTTCGGCCTGCACCAGGCCCCTGCCCCCCTGTCCTGTCCCGGCGAATAAAAGGGTTCCTCCAGACCTGGTGGCCTAATGATGCTAGGCCTCTCCGAGGGGATGTCGACTCCTCCCAGGTGCCTCCATGCTGAGCCGTGACCATGTTAATCTCAGCAGGGGGATTTGGGTGGACCGTTGGGACCCCTCCATCCTCCCCAGCAGGGGTCCCACCACCAAATTGGGACTTTAGCTCTGCAGAGAGGTCACTCCTGGGAACCCCCCATGCCTGTGACTAGCCAGCTAGTCCTGCCTCAGCCTCTGTCCCCAGACGTTCTCTCCCTCCCTCCCCCATGGCCCAAGCTCGACCCCACAGGGCAGACCCCTCCCGCCCGCCCTGGAGGGGTGCTCCCAGGAAGAGGTACATGGACACGAGACCGGGGAGCAGAATACGCTTTATTCTGAGGCAGGCTGGGGCTACCAGCCGGGAGCCCCCCGACTCAGCAGGGCTAGGAGTCCCCAAGGCGCAGCCCAGGGGGTGGCTGGTGGTCCGGGGGTGAAGGAGTGCGGGAGGGAGCGGAGTCACTCTTTCCGGAAGATCAGGCACTTGTTGTTGGCTGGCATGTCCACCTGAGGAGAAGGCTGGCTGGAAGAGCCTCTCCAGTTGCCGAGGCCCACCCGCACCCTGAGACCCTCAGCCCCTACCGTTCTCTCCAGGAGCAGGCCGCTGGCCCGGCCCAGATCCTCCAGGAGAGCTGTGTCCCGCAGCCCCCACTCCAGGTTCCTGCAGGGGGAGGGCAGTGGAGTCACAGCCTGGGGGGCACCCAGCCCCCCTGCCTCCCACACAGTCCCCGCCCACCAGCCTGACCTGCATCTGAGCGTCAGGTCAAAATCCACATTGCTCTGCGGAGAGATCTTCCCATTAATGGCGTAGGGCTGCCGGGACAAGAGACACAGCTCTGCGGCTGCCCACCCGCCCGGGGTCAGCCCTGGTGGGGAGGGAAAGGCTGCTGCCATTCCCCGTTGGACAGCAGGCTGACTTGGGACTGGGGGTCCCCAAGGAGGAAGGCACAGCCAAGGACCTGCTCGTGAGCCCAAGGGTGCCCCGGGCAGAGACTGGCCTGGGATAAGGAGGAGAGGCTGCAGCTGGGAGGGCCTGGGCATGTTTAAATGTTGGTGACAAGTGGTGAGGAAGGGGACAGGAGGGGTGACTGAAGTGAGAGTCCCCGGGGGTGATGGGAAGGCTACCTCAGACAGGAGGTGCAGGATGTGGTGGTGGGGCGTCCCTAGCTCAGAGGACAGGAAGGTTGAGCACAACGGGAGAGAGTGGACAGTTGGTACAGAATCGAGAAAGGAGCAGCATGAGGAGACAGAACTCTCCCGAAAACCACCGTGGTCAGAGGCGGCTGGGATCTGCCCTTTGAGGGGCAGGGGCCATCTCTGGGGTCCTCTGTGGGGAGTGCTCACCCCATAGGTGATCAGCAGCGCCTTGGGCTTCAGCAGGTGTCCGGCCGCTCTGAACAGCCCCTGGGGAGGGTGAGGCAGACGGCAGTGAGGTGCCCTCCCCAGGCCATCTGCAACATAGGGTCAACCGGCCCCCACCCCCCACAGACCTCAGTGCAGCGCAAGGGACTAATGTGCATCATGTTGATGCAAAGCAGCAGATCCAGAGACTGTGGCTCGATGCCGCCCCACTGCTCCCAGCCCCAGGTCACGTCCAGGTACAGCGGGGCCTTCACGTTCGCCAGCCCCTGGGCCTGTGTGGTGGCCGAGATGCTGCAGGAGGGCAGCGCTGTGGGTGCCGGCCCGCCGGTTGTCCCACATCCCGATGCCCCTTCGACCGTCCTCAGGGGAGATTTAGATGGGAAAGGTCTCGGCCTGGGTCACAAGTGGAGAGAGGACCCGGGCGGCCAGGATGGGCCCCCAGAGGTCCTCCCCAGGCTCCCGGCCCTCCCGCAGCCTCAGGACGCCCTGACCCCCTGGGCCGCCCGGGGTCCTGCCTTCCTGCCGCCCTGGCCTGCCCGCGCTCTCCCGCGGGTGGCCGCGGGCAGGGACGGCGGGCTCTGGACGCGCTGTCGTCCGGCCACACCTGTCCAAGCAGCGCTGGTCCACGTCCGACGGCTGCCACTCAGCGTGGGGGAAGGCCCGCGCGAAGTGGGCCGCGTGCTGGCCGGAGCCCGAGGCCACCTCGAGCACGCGGACACCGCGCTGAGCAGGGTCCACGTACTGCTGCAGCACCCGCAGGATCGGTTCCTTGTTCCGCTCAGCTGCCGCCGCCACCAGCATCCCGACCCTCAGGATTCCGCGCCCTGCCGCGGGGAGCGCCGGGAGCTGTAGTCCAGCGGCCGTGCCCCGCCCCACGTCATTGTGCTGCGTGCGCATCAAACTACAACTCCCAGGAGACCGTGCGCCTCTCATTAAAGGGCCCGCAGCCTCCCCGGGCACGGTCGATAGCCGCCCGAGGAGTGGGAATCCCGGCGAGGGGTCGGGGTAGCGCTATGCTGTCCCCGGTTTGCAGTCGTTCAGTTGCTCAGGCACCCTCTCGCCCATGCCAGCCCTAGTGTTTCATAGCGCCTTCCTCTCTCTGGAATTGTCTTGATTTGCCCAGGGTCTCGCTCGCGCTGCATCTGCAGGTGCCCAGTTAGCCTCTCGGAGAGCATGGCGACCGTCTCCAAGCCGGCGGCGTAAGGGGCAAAGTTCCCCTATTTCTTTCTTTCCTTTTTTTTAGATCTCTGCAGTTAGCTGGAAGTCAGCTTTTAAAACGAGGGAAAAAATAAAGACTCAAAACACGACTGCGCCGCCCGGGAATCGAACCCGGGTCGCAAGAATGGGAATCTTGCATGATACCACTACACCAGCGGCGCTGTTAAAGAAAGGGCTCCCTGTGAGATTTAGAAGATTGTGACGCAACCACTTCGCGCTAGAGAGACTATGTCGCATGCGCCTGCCACCGCAGCCGAGCCTGCGGCCAGGGTGGGAGGGCCGGGTTTGCGGGGACGGCGGGAGCCTCGCGACTTTCGCCCGGGAGCCTGGCACTCGAGGGGAGTAGGTGGAGACGAGGAGAGCGTGTTTGTGGGTGGCGTTTATTCGGACCTTCGCCCTGAAAACCTTGGCAACCGCCGGCATTCTGGAGCCGATGGAGGCGGGGCTGTTTCTGGGCGGGGCTGCAGAGCGGACTCCGCCCGCAGGATGGGGGGACCTGGCGGGCCTAGGAAGGAATCCCACTGATGCTCGGGACTTCTCTGTGACCTTGAGTGTACTCAGGCCAGCCCAGGGCCCTCGGAGAGCGTGAAAGGTCGGTGATCCCTGAAATCAAGTCGGAGGCAGCGCTTTTTCGGCGCTCACAGGTGTTGCTCCTGGGTTCCCAGACTGGGGTTCCCAGCTCAGAAGGAGGCCCCGAATGAGGAAGCTCTGAAAATCACCTGGCTTCCTGGGGCTTCTAATGGGGTTCCCTGGGCACAGGTCTCCCAGACTGTCCTGTATCAGTACGCCGCGGCCAGCTTATCTCCAGGCCCGGAGCCCCAGACTCAGGCTGGTTTCCCTTGCTGTGGGCAGTGCTATAGGAATTGAGCCCAACGACAAGCTGACCGCTGCTTGCTAAATGACATTGACCCCTAGCTGGTATTCATTCCTCACTCTGGGCTGGACACCAAGCAGGTCCGCACCACCCTAGACACTCCCCAGCTCAGCGCCCAGGAGGGAAGTGGCCGGACATGGCAGATGGCCAGGGCCCCTGCCTCACCACAGGCCTTTGCCACAGTAAGCGAGCGTGTGTGAGTGCATGTGAGTGCAGGTTTTTCTGGAGGGAGTCGTGCACATGTGTGTCAGCCCTGTTGGTGTCCACAGCCCCTGCTGCTGTCCTGGCTCCAGCCTTTGATCAATGGCATCTCCTTAGCTGCCGGGCTTGAGTCTGTCTAGGCTGAATTACTGTTGGGGCCAGAAACGCCCCTCCTGAGGTTGGGCCAGTTCCCAGGTGTCCCACATGGAAACTACTGTGGCAGCAGCCACCTTCCCAGTGAAGCCTTGTCCACTCCACTTGATAAGCTGCCAATGCCCAGAGGGCCACGGTCCCTGGTCCCATACTGGACATGGGGGGGGCGGAGAAGGGGGAACTCCTGTCCTTCTGCCAGCACAGCAGCGCCTCCCTGTGGCCCCTGCCTCTGTCCACACCTCCAGGGCCTACAGGCCTTCCTCCTGGAACTGCACTCTCAGGCTCTGCAGGGGAGTGGCCCCCACGGAGCCCCTTCCTCTGACCGGAAGCTCAAGGGCATGAGGGTCCCCGCTCCCAGCCCCCAGATTCACCAAGCCTGGAAAGCCCACTAGCCTGCCTCCTTTCCCTGGGGACATTTCTAAGTCCAGGAGCCTGTTTTGGGGAGGAAGACGGCACCACCCTTTCTCACACCTCCCCAGGGGTTCAGCACCCTGACAACCAGAGCTGACAGCAGTCTGACTTCTTATCTGGGCTCTGGACCCCTACCCCTGTCCTGGATCCATGGTCCCCAAGCTTCCCTCCCAAGCCTTCCCATGCCCTCACTCATCCCGCTCTCCTTGGGTTCTGAGAGTGGGCCCCAGCAGCCCCAGGAAACTGGCAGGAGGTGCTGGAGCATCTGGCAGAACCCTTTCCCAAGGCTACCAGTCACCCCTTCATTGGCAGGAACCAAGCCTGGGTCTCACAGAAACCAGTTCCCTAGTCCAGCTGGCCACCCTGGGTCCATGAGCAACATCTACTGGGATGACTGAAGCCTGGACTTCTTTGTTTATGTAAAACCTTACTGTTGTGTTTAGAGGCTTTTCTAAGAGAACGGAAGTACTTTATTTATTACGATGATTGGGGGGTCCGTGAGGAAAAGGGCTTTGCTGATCCCGGCAGAACCGCCCTTTCCAGCTTCCCCCAGCTGCGGAGTCCAGGGGTTGGGGACAAGGTCCAGATCTCTCTGACAACAGAGGTTACTTCTGCTCACTCAACCTTGCCTCTTGAGGCAGTAAGGAAAGATGCCATCATGGGCAGTGTTGGCCCAGGGGCTCTGGCTAGTGGGGTCACCCAAGGTCCTTGGGGCTGCAGGGTGGATCCGGCCAGCCAAGATTCCTGTCCAACAGGAGAACCAGCCCCGCCATCCCTGCTGCCAAAGCTGAGATCATGTCATGGCGGCTGCAGCAGCAAGCCTGTCCAGACCTTCGACCTCTGGGGGCTCAACTGGGCCCTCCGCCACCCCTGGGTCACCACCATGGGGGCCCAGCCAGGTGGGCGTAGCTGGGAAGGCCCCTTTAGGGGAGAGCGGGCCCCAGGCAAGTGCAAGGGGGCCTGCTTGTCCCTACTTCCTGTCCCTTGGACCACCCTCAGCCTTCTGAGCTGTCTGCCCCCTGGTCTCCCCTGCCTTGGTTCTGGCATCTCTTGGGGACCCCCACCCCTCTCCAGCTTGTCCTGTGACCTTCCACTCCGGCTCTTCAGGACAATTCCTTGCCTGCTGCTCCCCGGCCAAGTCCTTTGAGGGCTTCTGGACTCAACCTTTGACCTCAGGCCTCAGATAGGACCTGTGGGGTAAGGCTGGGATGTCCCCTCGGCCTCCAGCAAAGGCAGGGCTTATCCACCCATTCTCCGGTCTCGGGCCAAGGTCGTATTGTTCCAGCCCACTCCTCCATGCCTCCACCCCTTGCCTTCTAACTTGGCCTTCTGCTGGAACATGAACCCCCTCACCCTCAGGCCAAAGCCTCCCGGCACCCTGTGCCACCCCCCCACCCGGTCCCCTGGGCAGCGGCACCTCTCTCCCTTGCAGTAGCAGGTGTATGCCCGTTGGTCCCCCCTCCCTGGTGACAGTGATTGAGCGGGGGGATGGTCACAGGCAGCTCTGCCTGCCCAAGGCCACAGGGACAAGACAGGGCCGCCTGGGCAGATGACCAGGATGAAGCCGGCCTTGGAGGACACGTTGCAGTGATGCCAGTGGGGGAAGGGCAGGCAGTGCTGGGGGAGGGGGTCAGCCCGGCCAGTGAGGGGTCCTTCTGGGGTGGGGGGCATGCTCAAGGTCTGGGTTCCCTGAACACGTGTGGGTCCCAAGGTCACCAGGTCACAGCCCGTGGACTTTCCCACAGGCCCTGCCCTTCGTGCAGAGGGGGCAGCCTGGGGTGGGGGACCTTTCATCCTCCAGCCTTGTTAGGACAAGATGGGGAGCCAAGGGGCCCAGGTTGTGGGCATGGGGGGGAGGGATTGGCCTGAGAGCACCCCATCCCTGGCAGAAGCTTCTGCAAGGGTCCCTGAGAACATGTGGGGTCCCCCCTCCAGGCACATGGGGTAGGTCAGGGAGGGAGGGGGCAGGGGTCCTGCTGGTCACCTCTCTTCATGGCTCACCCCTCTTCTGTCGGACACTTTGCTTATTGCCTGGAGATTTAGAGAGAAACCCCGCCTCCCGATCCTCGAAAGACCCTCTCCTGCCCCTGCCCCCGCCAAGTGCTCTGGGAACCTCCACAGGCAGCAAGCCTGACCCCTAAGCAGGTGGATGCCCCCAGGCCTGGCACTTTCACAGACCAGCCTCTTCAAATATTTGCCAGATGAGTGCAGGAGTGCAAGGGCCTGAGGGATATCACAAGCTTGGGCAGGTGGGTTCCACGTTTGGTTTCTTGGGTGGAGGGAGCGTCCTCGTTTTAACCGGAGTGACCCAATTCAACAAAATGAAGGACAAGGGGGATGCCTGCCAGGTCGAGCTGCCCAGGGCCTGGTTGCTGTGGTGCCTGGTAGCCAGTGGCCGCTGTGCCCTCTCCACCCACACTGGTGGGTGTAGGGAGACCCTAGGGTTTGAGCAGCCCACGTGCTCCGAGGTGCCAAGGGGTAGAGCCCTGGACTGGTCAATGGCAGGGGGTGCTCCTGGCCTCTCCACTCCCCTGCCTACCTGGTCTGGGGCAGTCCTGCTTCCTGGGTCTCCAGGCTTCCCGGAAGTCACAGATGAAGGCCTGAGACTCAGCTGCGATAAACTGCTGTCCCCCAGATGCAAGGTGACAGAGGGGCCTGCCTCACCATCTTCTCTGTCCTCCAGAGCCCCCGAGACCTTGGGTCAGTAAGTGGCCTTTCCCGGCCCCTCCCTGGAGTTGGTGGGTACATCTCCCAGGGGGGTTAGAGAGAGCCTCACTGGGCACCGCTTCCCTGCCCCTACCCAGGGGCTGCCCCTCTTGATTTTCCTTGGTTCCGGGGCTCAGGCAAAGGGCAAGCACTCACACTGGCCCATGCACCCTGGCCAGGGCCCTCCAGATATGAGGGGGACGGACCGCTGCACCCTGCCTCTCCATGGCAGGGCGTCAGGAGTCCAGGACCACATCTGGCTGTCACTGGGGCCCTACATGAAGAACCCTGCCCACAGTCTGGGCTGCATCGGGCTCACCTGGCCCCCAGGCCAAGACGCTGCGGTGGCCCCCAGGCCTGGGGAAAACGTCCAGGGCCTGCCGGACCGCTGGCCGCGGAAAGCCACAGGGCCCTCCAGCTGCCTTGGCCTTGGGCCGCGTGGAGTGCAAGACGTTGTTGCCGGGAGGCCGCCGGCCCCGCCTGCCTCGCCTCCTCCCGCGCGCCTCCAAGGCTAGCCCAAACAGGAGCGGGCCCTTTAAGGGCCCGGGGCGTGTAGCGGGCTGGCCCCCACCCCAGCCCGGCCGCCTGTTAAAGGGACCGCGCCCTCCGCGCCCGCCAGGAGCAGCCCCGGGGAGGGTGCTGGAGTCTGGCCGGTGGCGGGTGAGCTGCGAGCCGGGCGTGCGTCCGAGCGAGCGCGTGGGCAGCCTGGGGGCACGGCCCCTCCGCACGGCAGCCCGGCGCACCATGTACACTATCACCAAAGGGCCCAGCAAGCTGGTCGCGCAGCGCCGCACAGGTGCCCACGGGATGGGCAAGGGCAGGGCCGGGCGGGCGAGCGGCGGCCGTGGGATCCGCGCGTCCTGAAGTCTGCGCATTCCGGGGGCCGCGCGCCCGGGGGGCCCAGGACACGGTGACCGCTCGGGGCTCCGCGCGCTGAGGACCCGGTCCACCGGCAGCTGACGCAGTCCCTGTACCCGCAGGCCCCCCGCAACAGCAGGTGGAGAGCAGGCTCGGCGAGCTCCTGAAATGCCGGCAGCCCGCCCCGCCAACGCCGCCGCTCCCGCGGGCGCAGCCGCCGGGACCCTGGCCCCTGTCGAGGTGAGAAGCTTGCCGCCCCGGCCCACCGAGCAAGGCCCACCCCTCCCCCGCCGGATGGCTGGGAGGGTGACCTTGGGGAAAGGTTACCAGAGACAGTGCCACATGGCTTAGCACGGGGCGGGCGCGCGTAGGGGCGGGGCAGGCCGACCACGCCCCCGTCCCTGTCCGGGTCCCGCCAGACTGATCCGGCCAGGGTGCCCGGGCGCTACCGCCTCACCTAGACCCCCCTGCCTCCAGCTGGACACTGGTAGATCCCCAGTGGGGAGAAAGTCCACCGGTTCCAGGGTCGGAGTGGCTGGGGAGAGCCGAGGCAGAAGCTCCCCCGTGGACCTTGGGCCGGCTGGGCGCTTCACCTGCTGCGCTCCTTTGGAGCAGGCCGAGCTCAGAGTTTGAGGCGAGTTGTCCAGTGCTCGTCCTCCTGGGTGGAGCTGGCGGCCCAGGGCACTGGCCCTCAAGGTCTGGCTCTGCTGAGGCTGCCAGCCCACCCTTGAGAGCTGAGGGGAGAGGTGCACGTGGTTCCCCTGGCTGCCAAGGTCTGCCCTCACACATCCTGTGAACCTGCAGCTTGGACTTGCTCAGGCCCTAGAGCCCCGGCCCCAGCCAGTCTGGCCTCCTCATGACCATGACCTGGGGTCAGACCCTGGCCGCTGGAACTTTTCCTTCCTTGGCTGAGTTCTGGGGCCTTTATTCTGCACATTTCCTCAGCTCCCTGGGGCCTGGGCGCAGGCCCCTGTTGGGAGGCAGATAATACTGGTGGCAGGCACAGGGTCTCCATGTGCCAGCTGAGGCGGTGCTGGGGAGGGCTGCAGGGGGGCGGAGCAGTGAAGGGAACTTCCAAGCCAAGGACAGACAGACAACCTCCGGGAGAGACAGCCTCCCAGAGCACCTCGACGTGGGCTCCACCCTCAGCCTGCCCCCTGCCTGCCCACTCAGAGCTCAGAGGGCCTGTCCAGCTCGGTTACTGGCCTGAGATACCGGAGGGTGGGGGCCGTGAGCCTGGCAGCCTGTCGGATGGGCATTGAGACTGGCCAAGGGTCCAGCCTGCTCTCAGACCCTGCTTGCTGGAGGGGCACATTGACATTTAGGGCTAGATCCTAGTGAGGAGACCAGGCCAGAGGGGAGGCTAGCGTCCAGGGAGGGAGGCCAGCAGGGCTGCGGGGTCCCTGAGGCCAGGCTGTGATGGTCCAGCCCTGGTCCTCAGAGCCACCCTTATCTTCTGGTGAGCATACTGAGGCACCTGGTCACCCAGGCAAGGGAGCAGAGCTCACTGAGGGAGGGGCTGGTGGGGTGCTGGCAGGCGCCTGGTTCTGTTCTTCAGGCTGAGGGACCCAGGGTGACCTCCTACCGTCTAACCTGGGAAATGCGCCTTGCTTCCCTCTCTGGTCCCATTGCTGGGTCGGGATGGAAAAGACAGGCTTCCCGGGCCCTGCAGGGCCCCAGGTGGGTCTCAGTGGGTCCGATGGCCAAACCTCTGTGGATGTCAGAGGCCATATATCTCAGTGGCCGGGGCACGTGGAGCCCGGCTGGATGGCAGGGTGGGTGTCGGGAGGGTATGCGGATGCGGGCTGGACGGGGCAGGGGGAGTGGGTGTTGGGAGGGCACGAGCTGGGCTGGACGGGGGGGGGGGGGGGGCTGCTGCTGGGAGGGCGCAGACCATCCACCTGAGGGGCTAGACCACTTGGCTAGCCCAGGGGTTGGCCCCTCCTCCCCTCCTTGGCCATAAAGGTCGCCAGCCTTCCCCTTCCACCAGTTGCCCCATATTAGACCTGTCTGGGAGCTCAGGATAGCCCCTGGGTGGCGGGGGTGGGGGTGGGGGGCGGTGCTGCCCCCACATGGAGCCCCACCTGCGTTCTTGCAGCCTCTTCCGGGAGGCTTCTCCAACCACCTTCCGAAACCACCCCCCGCCCCCGTGGACTTGCCCTGGGCGCAAACCGTCCTCTCTCAGCGGCCTGGCACTGGGTTGTGATGGCAGGCTGGATGTTTCTGCCTAAGGCGCTCTCTCTGTGGCCAGAGACAAGGAGGGTGTGGTAATCCCAGGTGTCATCGAATGCTGGGGACAGCAAGACTGCGTGGCCACCCGACTGGAGAACAGATGGGGGGCACATGGAAGGCCAGCCGAGGGGATGGGCCAGGCAGGCCCCCAGACTTGGGGGCAAGGTGGGGGAGGCAGGCTGGGGCAAGCCCCCTCCTTCTTGAGCCCAGGTTGCTGTGCTGACAAACGGGTGGGTGGTCCACCTGGAGGGGTGTTGAGGGGGTCACATGAGACGATACTGTAGTAGTCGGTGCTGAGAAGGCGCCGTGGTTCGGCGCTCGCCTCCCCAGGTGCGCACTGGAGCTGTACCCTTTCCCCCACAAAGCTCGGTGGAGCAGCCTTACATAACCGAGGCCTGGGGCAGCAAAGTGGGCAGGGTGGGGCAGGGCAGGCGCCCAGATTCTGGGGCCCCTTCTCGGCCCCGCCAGCCTCCACCTCTTTCAGATAGCCCCTGGCTGGGCCTGTCTTCTTGGTTTAGATGGGTTTCCCTGACATTGTGTTCTTGTGGAGCTGCTTCAAACCTTCCTGCCCTCTGCTTTGTGCGGAAGCTCGGGCAGGGAGTGGCCGTGTCTGCGAGCCTGCGGGTCCCGCGCGAGCCCCCGATGTGTGGGAGGAGCCGCGCCCTGCCCCCTTGCCCTCGTCACCTGCACAGTGAGGCCCTCCACAACCACCAAACCTGCTGACCCCGGGCACCTCAGGATGCTCCTCTCTGTTTTAGTGCCCCTCTCAGCTGAGGAGGAACCCAGAGCGGTTTGCAGTCGCCCAGCGATGGGGGACCTGAGCCCAGGAAGGCGAGCCGGCCGGCCGGGGACCTCGAGGGCCTGGCGGAGCGGCGCGCGCAGCCCCGGAGCCCCGCTCCCGCCTCCTGCTGTAGGTGCGCCCGCTCCCTCCACGGCCCCTGCATCCCGGGCTTGCTGTGCTGGCGTGGCTGCTTCCTGCCAGCGCTGGGGTGGCCTTCATTCCTGGCACCGGCTGGCCGGGAAGGGTCTGCAGCCTCCTGGACGTCTCATGCCCAGCTCCATAGGGCCATCTCCTCACTCAGAGCTCACTGAGCATCCCAGTCCCCCGCCTTGTCTCTGGCCGCTCTGCCCTGACATTCTGGGTGCTGTTTGGTGCTCATCCCCACGGGGCCTGGGGGTGAGCCGGGGAAGGGCCAAGGTCGCCTGGCCCTTGTCTGGGTCCTTCCTGCCATGCCAGGGGCATCTGCGAGAAGGAGAAGCTCCTCTCCTGGGGAGAACTTGGGGGAGAATGGGGCCCAGCAGGTGGGGTGAAGGAGATCTGGTTGTGGCTCAGCCAGCCCCTGGGCTGCTGGGAGGCCAGCGGTCAGTGGGGTGGAAGGCAGGCGGCAGTGCGGGCACCAGGAGACCCCTGGGCCAGAGAGAGAGCCACCTGTGTACCTGGAGCCTGGAGCCATGCACTAGGCTGGGCCCTGCGGGGGCGGGGGGGGGGTGCAGGCCTGGGGCTCGGTGGGAGTGGCTGGCAGGGCCAAATGAGGCAGCAGCGTGTGAGCTGAGCTGTGGAGTTTCGGCAGCAGGAGAGCGAGTGGATCAGCTCCCCGCTGTAGGGTGGCTGCTCTGCGGCTCAGGGAAGTACCCAGGCTGGGCCGAGGGCATGGCAGGAGGCTGCTCAGAGCTCCACCAGGCAGCACCCAACTAGGGGACCGACACCAACCTTCTCCCCCCCTACAGCCCAGGGCCCAGGCTTGTGTTCAATCGGGTGAATGGCCGGCGGCCCCCTGCCACGTCCCTGTCCCTCGAAGGGGCCCAGGAGACCTACACACTGGCCCACGAGGAAAACGTCCGCTTTGTGTCCGAAGGTAGAGAGGGGGCCGAGGCTATGACCTGGCCACCAGGTCCTCTCCCCACTGCAACCTGACTCCCTGTGGCCAGAGGGCTAGGCTTCTCCTTGGCTGTCTGCCAGCTGGTCCTGTGACTACTGAGCTGGCTGTGCACTCCCTGTGCTGGGCTGGAGTCCAGGGTGGCCACCAGGCCCTGGGGGGGGAGTGGGGTGGCAGTGGCCGGGCCTGACCGCCTCCTCCCCGCAGTCTGGCAGCAGGTGGAGCAGCAGCTGGACGGCAGCCCAGCCGGTGAGAGTGGGCTGAGGCCTGTGCAGTACGAGGAGAGGACCCCCAACCCCCGACTGCAGAGTGAGTGTCCCCCCACCCCTCTGTCCCCTGTCCCAAGATGTGGGCACTGGGGAGGGGGAACTTGAGCGGGGACCACTTTCTCCCAGCACCTGCCTCACCTGGGTCAGTTGAGGGGTCAGACTAGGGGTGAGAGGTGCTGACAGCCCAGGGAGGCGGCATCACTGCCTGGCCCTCTCTCCTCCCAGACTTTGTGCCCATCGACCTGGATGAGTGGTGGGCGCAGCAGTTCCTGGCTAGAATCACCAGCTGCTCCTAGCTGATGCTTGGGAGGAACACGGCCTGCGCAGGGCCTGGCCCTGCCCCCACGGACTCGTGGCCAGAAGAGGACCACGGCGCCCTTGTCCACTATGGTGGCAGGCCTCGTTTCACTGGGCCTGGCTGGGTGCCAGCCACACCTGAAGTGCCAGCATTTGGACTTTTGCACCTTTTGTTCCCTTGGCCCAACTGTCCTAGGCAGCCAGGTACAGGGGCTGAACTTGTCTGCTGACCTCAATCCTGCCTGCTGTGCCAGCCCCTGGGGCTGGAGAGAGGAGTTCCAGGCTAATAAAGTCGAGAAACTGTCCCTTCTGAGTGGCCTTTATTTGATGTGTTGGAGGGGATGGGGGGGGGTCAGCTTCCCCTTGGAGCCTCTTGCCCCACCGATGGCACCTCTGGGCCAGCCAAGGTTGCAGCTCTGCCATGCTCTGGCCCTCAGCTTCTCCCCAGCTGCCCGCTTGGCAGAGGGGTGGGGCCCGGGGCCGGTTCATGGTGCTGGGCCAACTGACCTCCCCTTCCTCTCCCTGTTGGCCTTGAGCCTGTTGGCCTGAGCCAGGCAGAGCGATGTTAAGTAACCAGCCCTAGAACTGGGGGACCTAGCTCCCCAGGATTGGGGCTGGGTTTGGGAGGCCTGGCTGCTGGACACTGGGCAAAGACATTGCTCAGTTCTTGGGGTGGAGAAGTGTGCGTGGGTGAGTGCAGGAGCTCTGTTGCATGGGCATGAAGCCCCAATCCCCCTTCTGGGTACCTGTGGGCACCTGGATGACTCAGCCTCCTTAGCCTTGGTGGCCTTATCTGCTGGACGCTGGAGGAAGGGGTGGGGGTGGAGGGTCCTGCCGGATCGACAGTGGGTGTGGCTAGGTTTTTGGGAGGGGTCTAGGCTCAGCCCTTCCTCTCCTCGTGTAAGGGGGCAAGTAGCAACTGTGGAGCAAGTGGCCAGAGCAGGAGTCATGGAGACCCAGGAGGCTGCTGACAGAGAGGTGGCCGCTCCAGAGGTGGGGAGGAGGCCTCCGAACGGCGGTGCCAGCCCTCGCCCCGCGACCGGAGGGGTTTGGGCCAGGGCTCGCCCTGCCCGAGGAGATCCTGGCTCCAAATTTTAAAAAGATCCAAAATGGGAGGCGGGTGCCCCAAGGCGACTTTTGGGAACCTGAGCCCCTAGGCCCTGGCCGGACGCCCGCGCAGGGCACGCCGGGCCTGGCGCGGTCACGTGGGCCCTGGGCGCCGCCATGATGGCGAAAGGGGCGCGGTGCCGTTGCTACGCGCCGTTGCTGGGCGCCGCGCTGCGTGACCTGCGTGGGGCTCCCGGCTGCCGAGGCGGGAAGCTCGAGCAGCTGCGACATGGCCGGAGGTAGCAGCGCCCCGCGGCCGGGCCGGGCCGGGGTCGCGCGGAGCCGGGGCGGGGCTAGGCGAGGTCGCGCGGGCGGCGAGCGGTCCGTGTGGCGTGGACGGTCCCGGGTTGCCCTGGAGGTGGTGGGTCGGGGTTGGGCAGAGGCCTGAGCGCGCAGGACCCACCTACCTGGGCCCGGGTGCGCATCTGTGCCGGCGGGCGGCCTCTGGAGCCCCCACCTGGGCGAGCGTTTGGCCCAGTGACCACTGAGCCTGGCTTCCCGTCGCCCAGGGCTGCAGGCTGAGCTCTTCTATGACTTACCTTGTCGTTATCATTGGATGAAAGAGTAGAATAAGCCCTTGGGCCTCCAACAGGCTCTCTGGCGGGTCCCTGAGGCCCCCACACTGCCCCTAGCTCAGGATCCGCCCTGGGTCTGGTGCCAGGTCCTCAAGATCATGGGCCCCCATGCCTCAGTGCCCTGCAGACCTCTGCTCCACCCCCCTCACCCCCTCCACCGTGTGGCAGCCCCAACCCCTGAGTGTCCTGCTGACCTCTGCGCCCCTCCCCCCCCAGTGTGGCAGCAGCCCTACCTCAATGTCTTCAGACACTTCAAGCTGGATGAGTGGAAGCGGTCAACCAAGGAGGGCGACGTGGCCTTGGTGATGGTGTGTGGGCGAGGGGCCCGGGAGAAAACCAAGCCCCTTTCCCCTCCAACTGGGGCATGCCCCGTGCCACCTGAGGGTCCTGGCTGGGGTCACCAGGTGCGGCAGGCGCTCCTCCTGTGTGCCCCCTAATCTGCTGGTGAGCGCGGCTCCTGTCTCTCCAGGACAAGACCCTGAGGAGCACCGTGTACCAGATCTGGGGACCTGTGTCTGCTGGCAACTACATCCAGCTCCCCAAAACCAGCACGCGGTCTCTGGGGCTGACTGGGCGGTACCTGTACGTGCTCTTCCGGCCCCTGCCCGCCAAACACTTTGTCATCCACCTGGACGTGTCCACTGAGGTGCGGCGCAGCATAGGGCAACGTGAGGGTCCCCCGCTCCTGTCATCCCCCGTCTCCTCACGGCCACACCTTGCCCTCCTGCAGGACAGCCAGGTCATCCGTGTGTCCTTCTCCAACCTCTTCAAGGAGTTCAGGTCCACGGCCACGTGGCTTCAGTTTCCCTTCATTTGTGAGGCCAAGTCATCCAGACCAGGTGACACAGATGGGCCAGAAGGTCTGGAAAGGGCAGAGTGGGGACTGTATGGCCTGGGAAGGGAGCAGCCAAGGACAGAGGGTGCTGTGGACTGGGGGGCTTTTTCATGGGGTGGGGGGCCCTGACAGGGTACCATCGTAGGCACAACCTCCCCTGGCACCCAGTGGACCTGCCTACAGCTAGACCTGCAGGACATCCTGCTCCTCTACCTGAACCGGCGCTACAGGTATCTGAAGAGTATCCGGCTGTGTGCCAGCCTGCTTGTCCGGAACCTCTACACCAGTGACCTGTGCTTTGACCCTGGTGAGGGCCGCCCCGTGCCCCCTCCCCTCACCCCAGGAGGCCTCGTGCTGGTGCTGGTGGGCACCTGGCTTAAATCTCAGCTGGGGCTGGGAAGGGGTGCTGGACAGGCTCCCCCTGACCTGGAGCACCCCTGCTCAATATAGCTGTGACTGTGACTGAGGCCCGGCGCAACAAGCTGGCTGTCACTCCCATGCCACGAGAAATGGCGTTCCCGGTGCCGAAGGGGGAGTGCTGGCATGACCGCTATGTCCATATTCGGTGAGCGGGCCCTGCCTGTCCTGGGGGCTTCTGGGAGGTGGGAGGGGCTGCCCCGGACGCTGACTCTCCACCTGCCCTGCCGAGGTTTCCGAGTGACAGCCCAGGAGCGCCCCGTGAGTTGGGTCGGAAGAGCCGATCCCCTCCTGAGGCAGGTGGGCCTGGGCTCGGCGGGATGCTGGGGAGGGTGAACACCAAGGTGTGGCTGCCTGCTGGGCGGGTCAGGGGCCAGGGCTAGTACTGACTGCCCTGAGGTCCTGGAGGTCTGTGTGTGGGGACACCTGGAGGGCTCAAGCTTTCCAGCTCTGGCCTGGGGTGGGGTCTGCTGAACACACAGGTGTGCTAGGCCGTGGGCAGGTGGTAGGCGGCAGCTTGTAGCTTTGGGGTCCTGGCATAGCCACAGCCTCACTGGGCATGTCTGTTTGGCGGTCACCACCGCCCTTCTCCCTGCTGTAGGCCTCCCGGGGCCTGTGCCGCAGCTCCTTCCGCGTGTGGTAGCTGGCAGCAGAGCCCTGCAGGACAGCGTGTCCCCCATGGTCCAGACGTCCAGTCCCATAGCCGTGAGTGCCCTGCACCCTTGGGGCCGGGGCTGGCTGCAGGACCCCAGGAGCTGACAGACCCCATCCTCCACACTCCACAGTCCTGCCGGGCCCCCTCAGTGCCCGCGCGCCTTCCAGAGGTCAGTCTGTCTCGTGAGCTCCTGGAGGCCTCGGCCCAGGTGGGAGCCGGCGACAGTGTCAACGTGTTTGCCCACACGCCAGCCGTAGTGCCTTCGGTCCTGGAGAACGTCGGCTCTCAGGAGGTGAGTGTCTCTTCCACTCCACGAAGGCATGAGCCCTCACTGCACCGGGCCCGGGTGGCCGGCACCATGGGGCCTCCTGGGGCGGGGCAGCATTAGGGCAGGACGTGGCCAGTGATAGTAGGGTCTGGGGCCTGGGTAGCTGCTGCAGCTCCTGCTTTGGGTAAGGGGTGCTGGATGCGTGGCCGGCCAGGTTCATCCTGAATCCCCTTGGAGTGGCGCTGGGGGATGAGGGGCCTCTGACACATCTCTGCATCCAGGCTGCCAGCAGCAAGCAGAACGGACAGGAGATGGCTCGGGGCAAGAATCCCTCTCACCCAAGAGTAAGGATGGGGTCTGTGCACTGCCCTTCAACTCTGAGTTCCACTCCCAGCCCCTGGTGGTTTGTGGTGGGGCTCAGGCTGCAGGTGGGGCAGGACCCAGGGTCCCTGGAAGCGTGGCTTCTTGCCACGGACAGGAGCCATCCCAGGGTCCAGGCAGTCACTCTGGGGCGGGTAGGGGGGCAGGGAGGGCAGAGCTGGGGATTGGCCTCTCCCTGCTGGACTCTCACCAGGAGTGCGCCTGTTTCAGAGCTTCCTCCCAGACCCGATCCTGAGGCTCAAGGGGGTCATCGGCTTCGGGGGCCAGAGCACCAGATGGGTGAGTTGCCCGCGGGCTTCAGAGCCTGCGGGTGTTGGGGCTTTTCACTCCCTGCAGACCCTGGTGGCTTTCTGTGGTCCTCAGACGCCCCGGCCCACCCGATCATGCCCACACACAGTTCAGGGCCCTGGCCGCGTTGGTTTGGAGGTTCACACGTGTCACTCTGTCCGTCTGGCAGATGCTCTCGGACACTCTTTTGGCTGAGGTGCTAGTTCAAGTCACTTGAACTCCCTGCGTTCCAGAGCTCTCAGCCCACGTGGTTAATGCTTTGCTGCGTGTTGCCCACCCACACGCTTCTGCTTCACACGCATGGTTGCCGTGTCAGCGTGTCCTGTGGGGCCGACGGGTCGAGGCACAGAGTGGTCGCAGGGACGGCGCTGTTTCCCAGCTGCTTCTGGGTGCTTGTCAGGCCCTCTCAGAGGCGGGCTCCATCTCTAGGGGAGCCCTTTGGTCTTTTGCTACCTGAACCCCAGAGTTTTCTGATTTGGAGGTAGGGCTTAGAAGAAGTGACGGTGTGTACGTGTGTGCACGTGCGCATGTACATGTACATACGTGTGTATGTGTGTGTGTGTGTGTGTGTGTGTGTGTGCGTTTGCATAGTGAGTGTATGTGTACGTGCATCTGTGGGTGCATGCGTGTGCGTGTCCGCATCTGTGTGTGTGTGCGTGTATGTGTATTTGCATGGTGTGTGCTTCTGGGTGTGTGTATGTGTGTGTATGTATGTGTGTATGTACATCTGTATATGTATGTACGTTGTGTGCGTGTAAATACTTGGGCATGTGTGCGTGTTTGTTTTAGCTGGCAGGTTGACCTGTGTATCTGTTTGTGTGTGATACGAGGTGTGTGTGTGTCTTCTCTGCCTGTGGTAGCTGAATACATATGTGTGTGTGTAGGCCAGGGAAGGGCACGAGGCAGACCCGGGCAGCCAGGAGGGATGGGGTGCACCCTGACCTCTGCCCTGACCCCGCTACCAGGCCCTATGGACCAAGGACGGGGCCACTGTTGTGTACCCCTGCCACGCGGTCATCGTCGCTTTGCAGATCGACACGGGCGAGCAGCGCTTTTTCCTTGGCCACACAGACAAGGTGGGCACCACCCCGGCTGGGGACTGGGTGTGGCTTGGGGGCCCTCCCTGAAGCCGTGGCTGCCTCCTTAGGTCTCCGCCCTGGCGCTGGACAGGAGCAGCTTGCTGCTGGCCTCGGCACAGGCGCAGCTTCCATGCATGGTGTGGCTCTGGGACTTCCAGATGGGGGGCTGCCTGTCCATGTTCCAGAGCCCAGTCCATGCCATCTGCTCCCTCAGGTGGGTGGGGGCGGGGGTGGCAGTGAGGGGCAGCCACTGAGCACTGAGCACTGAGCACCCCTGCCCTGTGCCCACAGCTTCTCTGACAGCGGGGCAGTTCTCTGCGGTGTCGGCAAGGACGGCCACGGGAGGACGGTAACGGCTGCCCCAAGGCTGGGGAGGTGGGGAGGCGGCCTGGAGTGTGTGCCTCTGTTTGCTAAACGCTTGTCCTTGCTCCTTTTTGCTTGCTGAAGGCTTGTGTATTCTTTGTTTAAAAAAAACAGTTTAGAGTAGTTCCCCTGCCCGCCTCCTTACCTCACACGGCCCTGCAAGCTGTTTCCTGGGCCAAGCCTGGCCAGCCCTCCCCGCTGTGAATGCAGGTGCTGGGAAGCACCCCCGGGTCTCATGTTTTGCTTCCTGATTTCTTCGCTCTTTGCTCCGAACGCATCGCTTTGGGTCGACAGTTAAACCCTTGCTTCAGTCCTCAGCAGCAGCACTGTCTATATTCCACCGAGCGAGGGGCACTTTTCTGTATCCGTGTCCGTCATTGAAGCCGATGGGGTGTGCTGCTGGCTGTTTAATCGTACTTGTCTGTGGGGCGTTTTATCATTTGTTTCTGTAAAACTGCTGGGATGCTTCGCGTTCGTGCCTCATAGAAATCCAGAAATGCGAGTCAGTGCTGGCTTGTCCGTCCAGGCGCATATGGGTTGCAGTTTCCCAGGAGTGAGCCAGCTAATGTCCAGGAACTGTGTGCTCGGGCTGCGTGGGAGCCGAGCTTCCCATGGCCTCACCAGCGGGTCCCTCCAGAGAAGCACATCACCCAGCAGTCCAGGGGGGTGGGCTGAGCAGAGCCTGGAGGATGCTTGGATGGAACCAGGCTCAGTCCCACTGGGCTCACACAGGCTCCACTGCAGATGGTGGTGGCATGGGGCACCGACCGGGTCGGCCTTGGTGGCGAGGTAGCTGTCCTTGCGAAGGCCAACACCGACACAGACATCCAGTCCTGGACGGTTGCCTCTGATGACACCAGGTGACATGGCCCGTTGCATAGCCCTAGTCTGGAGGCAGGGTCTCGCTGCGGACACCCCAGGGTGGGCGCTTACCCCTTCGCCTTTCCGGCAGGATGGCATCGTGTGGGCGGGGAAGCGTGCGGCTGTGGCGGCTGCGTGGCAGGGCATTGCGCTCCTGCCCGGTGGACCTGGGGGAGCATCACACGCTGCATTTCACCGACCTCGCCTTCGATTCGGGCCAGGATGGGCCACGCACACTGTGAGCCTGGGCCTGCCCCTGCCCCTTCCAGCATGCCGGGAGCCCCCGCCTTGCCCCTCCTGCCCCTGCTGGGACCCCCTGCCCCACCCTCCCCGCATGTGAGCCCCTCCTCCACACACACTGGGGGCCCCACAGGCTGCTGCCCTGCGCTCCCTGCCCCACAATCCCTTGCTGGTCATCTTTGAGCAGCTATGTGTGCAGCCGGAGTGGTCACATTCTGGAGGTGGACGTCCAGCACATGGCCGTGCGGCACGCCCGCCTCCTGCTGCCCACGCGGCCCACCGGCAGCCTCCACCAGCAGAAGCCGACCTTCACCTCAGGTAGGTGGGCCCCCAGCCCCATGGCGGGAAGCCGGGGTGCCCTTGACACTGTGTCAGCAGCCTCCACCGGCAGAAGCCGACCTTCACCTCAGGTAGGTGGGCCCCCAGCCCCATGGCGGGAAGCCGGGGCGCCCCTGATGCTGCTGCCCTCCGCAGGCCCAGGCGTTGCCATCAGCAGTGTCAGTGTCTCCCCAACCCTGTGTGCCGTGGGCTCTGAGGACCGCTACCTGCGCCTCTGGCCCCTGGACTTTTCCGCTGTGCTCCTGGAGGCAGGTGAGGTCTGAGGGCCGCCACACACGAGGCACGTGGAAGGGACTCTGTCCTGAGGCCAGGTCCGTTGCCAGGACTGCCTGTGGCCAGGTGGGCAGGGCTCGGCCCTGGGAGCCACGGCTCTCAGTGGGAGGAGCGGGCTCGTCTGTGCCTTAGGCATACAGGCAGCCTGAGCACGGGGAGCCGTGGCCTGCTGGGAGGTCTGTGCCCGCGACTCGCGTCAGCTGAGAGGTTACCTGCCCCGCCTGCAGAGCACGAGGGCCCAGTTAACTCGGTCCACATCAGCCCTGATGGCCAGCGCGTGCTGTCCACCACCTCCATGGGCCACCTGGGCTTCCTGGACACGGTGTCCCGTGAGTACCGCATGCTGGTCCGCTCCCATACTGCCTCCGTGCTGGCCTGCGCCACACAGCCGGTCAGTAGGCGGCTTGCCACTGTTGCCCAGGACAACACCGTCTGCATCTGGGACCTAGCAACTCTGCAGCAGGTGGGTACAGCAGGAGGGAGCAGGGCAGCTGGGGGAACTGGAGGGAGGTGCAGGAGACAGAGTGCTCAGCCAGCCCCGCCCCTCGCCCGCAGGCCCCGCCCCTCGCCCGCAGGCCCCGCCCCTCGCCCGCAGGCCCCGCCCCTCACCCGCAGGCCAACTCCGACACCTCACTTACTCTTTCCTCCCCCAGCTGTATGACCTCACACCCCTGGACGAGGCCCCGTGCGCTGTGGCCTTTCACCCCACCCAGCAAACTCTGTTCTGTGGCTTCCGTAGCGGCGCTGTGCGGTCCTTCAGCCTGACAACCTCAGACGTGCTGGTGGAGCACAGGTGGGCGGAGCTGCGCCAGGCCCCTACTGGGAAGCCCAGAGTGGAGGGGGCTGAGAGCGGCTTTGGGCAGCCCCGGGGTGTGGGGCACTGGCCAGGGAAGGGGCTGTCACAGGAGTCCTGGCACTGCGCGGAGCCCTCACTTGGTCCCTGTGTGTCGTACAGGCAACACAGAGGGGCTGTGACTGGGCTGGCTGTCACTCCTGATGGCAGCTTCCTGTTCAGCGCCTGTGATCGGGGTGCCCTGGCCCAGTATGACTGCGCAGCTCCCCAGTGCTCCGTCCTCCGCGTGGCAGGTCAGGCCCCCCAGGCCAGCGCCCACAGGCTCAGGCCTGGCTCTACCTGCCCCTTGGCCTCCCAAGTCCCTGGTTGGGCCCCCAGCACGGGGTAGGAAAGTGCCTTTAGGGCTCACAGCACCCCAAAGCTGAGGATGGCTGCCCTGCCCAGCTGACCCCTCACCCCTGTGCTGCCCCAGGGAACATGGTATGCCAGGATGCCTGGCCAAGCCCTAACACCCTGGCGGTCAGCGGGGACAGCCACCTGCTGGCCTTCGTGGGCCCCTCCAAGTACACGGTGACTGTGGTGGGCACCGTCTCCCTAGATGAGGTGAGCGGCTGGGGCCTCCTCTTCTGTCTGGGGTGGGGGTGGGGGAGCCAGCAGACCTGTTTGAACCCCCACAGCTCCTCGGGGTCTCTGCTAGAACTCTCCTTGTCACCGTGTGGATGTGAGGGCCTGGGGGCGGGGGCAGGGAGGACATGCCTGTGGTGGGAGGGCACTGTTCTCTTGGGAGAGGGTTGGAATGAGTAAATGAACGATACCATACTGATCTTTATCTGTTTTCCTTTCTGGGCTTTCTTTGTCAAGTTTTGGTATTGATTTTGTGTGCCAATTACTGAGAAGGAAAAAAAGGGTGAGGGAGTGAGGTGGCAGGCTTAGAGAGTAGAAGACTGAGCCCTAGAGCACTCCAATATTCAGAGTTCATGTGGTTCTGGATAGGGCATTGCCTGGCTGGACAACGGGGGGCTGCAGCCTCACACTCTCCGGGCTGCTCCCTCCTGCACCCGGGCCTGTGCCTGTGTGCTCTGCCCGGCAGCAGTGGCTGACACCCATGCTCGGCCGCCCCAGCTGCTGCGGGTGGACATCAGCGCCCTGGACTCAGCCGGTAGCCACCTGGACTCGGCCGTGGCCGTCTGCTTCGGGCCCCAGCCCACCAGCCACCTGCTGGTGTCTACCCTCTCCACCAAAGTCCTTATGCTGGATGTGACATCAGGGCGCAGTGTTAGGGAGGTGAGCCCCAGGACACCATCGCCGTCATCGTGGAAGGAAGAAGAGCCTTCAGGCTGCTGCTGTCCCCTAAGAGGTGGCTTTGCTGAGAAAGCCACTTAAACTCCTGTCCCGGCTCCTCAGCCCAGCCTCTTCTCTCTGCTTAAATGCCCCCGAGCTGTCCAGTGTCCCCCATCACTTGAATGTCCCCCCAGCTGTCCAGTGTCCCCCATTACTTGAATACCTCCTCAGCTGTCTGGTGTCCCTCTCACTTGAATGCCCCCTCAGCTGTCTAGCATCCCCCTATTTGAATGCCCCCCCAACTGTCAGGTGTCCCCCCCTTCACTTAACTGCCCCCTCAGCTGTCCATTGTCCCCCTATTTGAATGCCCCCCCAGCTGTCCAGTGTCCCCCTCACTTGAATGCCCCCCCCAGCTGTCCGGCGTCCACCCTGTGGCCTGCTCCTCCCTGGCTTTCAGCAAGGACGCCTGCCTCCTGGTGACGGCCAGTGACCGGGCCATCAAGGTGTGGGACTCCCCGACGCAGGCACGCCCCGGCTGCCAGGTGTGTGCTGAGCTGGATGGTGCAGGCCCGTAGGTGGTCTCCTTGCTGCGTCCAGGGCCCGTGGAGGCCCTGGTAGGGGCACAGAGGGTGGGGTCCCAGGACCCCCTGTGCCTGCTTGTGCGTAAAGCTCCTGGGGCATCCCTCGCTGGGTCTCCACCTGGCCAAGCCTCAGGGTCCCTGTGTGATGCCTATCCCAGGTATACATCGGGCACTCGGAGCCCGTGCAGGGTGTGGCCTTCACCCCTGACCAGCAGCAGGTCCTCAGCGTGGGGGACACTGTCTTTATCTGGGACGTCCTGTTCTGCTCTGAGAGGACACCCCGAGGCAGGTAAGTGTCCATGTTGCCCTTGTGCCCGCCCACCACACAGCACCTTCTCCACACCCTCTCTCATTGCTCCTGCAGTATCCGAGGCTCGGCCAGGGCGCCCTCAGTCTGTGAGGCAGGTGAGTGGTTCATCTGAGGAGCGGGCACCCTGGCTCGGGGCAGGCTGTGTTCAGGGACGTCAGCATCAGTCCCTTTCCTGTCTGGGGGTTTGGCCACAGTCTTGTCTGCCCTGACTCCTTTGCAGAGGCCGGTCCCCTCCCTGAGTCCCCTCCAGAGCCGGGGCCACACCCCTGAGTGCTGCCCCCAGCTCCTTCTACCCCCAGGGTCGGCTACAGGACAGCAGGAGGAAGACAGCGTCTCTGGGGCTTGTGGGCTCCCCCGGCGCCAGGTGCCTATGCCGTCCCAGGCCCGCCTGCCTCAGCTGGCCGTCGGTGCCACACCCTCTGAGGGCAGTGATGGTGAGGGGCGAGGGCCCCGGGAAGCCCAGCCAGCCCGGGTGCTGTGATGGGGAGCGAGAATGGTGGCTGTGTGTGGGCTCCACTCCGACTCTTCACTGCCCCCACCAGGCATGTCCTCGGTGTTGGATGATGAAGGACCCAGCGAGGATGACTCCCCTACAGGGCTCCGCCAGGCCCCAGGCGCTGCTGTGCTGGTGGAGAAGGGAGCCGGAGGGGACAGGCCAGGGAGGACCACAGGGGGACCCTGGGGGCTCGGCAAGCCTGCCTGCTCCCACAGTCAGCCCAGTAAGCTCTAGAAGACCAGCGTGGGGAGGGCAAGTCCCTTACAGGGGCCCCACAGCTCCAAGGGCGGGGGGTAGGCACGGCTGGTAGGTAGAGAGGCGTGTCCACCTGGAGCAAAGGGTGGTTGGTGTGCCTTCTGCTCCCTGGAATCCTTGCCTTCGGGTGATGAGGGTCCCTGAGGAGTCGCTCCGGGGAGCTTGACGCCCAGCCCTCCCTCCGGCAGGTGCCAGCAGCCCCAGGGATGCCGTGGACCTGCCCACTGCCCGCCCCGACTCCTACAAGCACTTCGTGGCGTGCTTCAAGGCCTCCCAGTTCCCCAGGGTCAGCCATGGGCTTTGTCTGTGAGGGTTGGGGAGAGGGGCTCCAGGGACACCCCTTCCTCCACTCTCAACCCCACCTGCTCCCCACTGCCCACCCTGATTGATCGGATATGACCCTGAGACAGGCAGGGAGGTGACTCTGAAGTGGGGGTGCTATGTGGCCCTGAGGGGGTCTGGGCAGCCATGCTGGGCTCTCCAGCGTCCTGGGTTCTTGTCCACACAGAGCATTTCCTTCCCTCCGGCCAGCGGCAGGCCGCTGCGCCTGAAGGCCGTCGTGGGCTACAACGGGAACGGGCGCGCCAACATGGTGTGGAGGCCGGACACAGGTGGGGCCCGGCTGTCGGTGCACGTGGAGGCCGGACACAGGTGGGGCCCGGCTGTCGGTGCCCTGGCCCTAGCCCACCTCTCTCGGGGCTCTCTCCGCACCTGAGCAGGAGTCTTCCTGAAGGGTGTCGTGGGAACCTCCCTGGCTGCCGTGGGGATAGGGGGCAGGAAGACACCCAGGCTGCTCCTGACGGCCCTGCGGCCCCTCAGGCTTCTTCGCTTACACGTGCGGTGGGCTGGTGGTGGTGGAGGACCTGCACTCCGGCTCCCAGCAGCACTGGCTCGGCCACCCCGAGGAGGTGTCCACGCTGGCCCTCAGCCATGATGCCCAGGTGCCCCCC